CTGGAAGGCCTTGATAGTTGAACCTCTTCACTGTGTTTATGCAGTTGGTGTCTTTTCTAGCATTTTAATGACATTTTCTCACAAACAATATAGCCTGCCATTCATCCGAATTTGTATTTCAGTTACAGTGAACAGTCAAATTCTGTTACCTCACTATTCTACTAATTGGCTCTAATTGGCTGCTACACATGGCTGTGTGTTGGATTTTTGCAGTTTATGGATGCAGCTTGCGAGCCAAGCTTGCAAGCATTAGTTGATACCCTGACACGTCACCATTTCTTCCTTAAAGTTTCATCTTCTTTGTAGGAAATGAACAAATTCTACCAGAAACATTTAAAACATGCCAAGCGTGATCAAACAGAAATGAAAATTTAGGATAAGTAATTTTTTATTGATTACTTTAGACTACTACCTTCAAAAAATTACATTAAAATATTTTGTGGTTGTATGGAAGAGATACATTACATTAACCAAATATCTTCTCTAAAGTTGATGGCTAATATGTTACTAATGTAACTAACTATTAAGCATCAAACAGACACCAAGCAGGATAGCCTTCCTCTTTGAGTTGTTTTTGTAGACACGTGACATTTTGGGGTTTTTGATTTCTCTACACTCCTTTAGACATTTCTGGACAAAAACCTGCTTCAACTAAATATGTAAACCAAAACACAACTCTCGAAAAGTTTTAAAAACCTGCCACAAAGGCGAGGTTAGCTCTGCAGTGCAGACAACAATATGGGGCACCGACACTACAGCTGCTTGTTCCACTGTCTGTATTAAAAAGTATTGAAGATGAGCTTTAATTTGAGACATGCTGTTATACAATCAACACAGCTGATTGCTGGTGATTCCATAAATGACATACCAGAGAGTTAAAAGAAAGAACACATAGACAAGACTACATAGACAAGTATTGGGCCATCTACACATTTCAGCTCCAGCAGCTTTTATGACATCTCATTCTACATCCATTGGATTGCTCCTATTCCTTTGTAGATATTACAGCTTCCACTTTTCTGGGAAGGCTTTCTATGATTTTGGAGAGTAGGACACACTTTTGTCCATACATGAAGAAAGGAAATCGTAAGGTCAGGCACTGATGTTGGATGAGAGCAATTTTTGTTTCAGTTTACCCTAAAATTACTAAATGGGTCTGAGAACAGCTTTAACAAATCTGAACTATAGAATTATCCAAAATGTCTGGGTGAGATAAAGCAATAAGATTTTCCACAGCATGATTCCTACCCCACCAAACTCTAGAGTTGGCACAGTGCAGTCAGCCAGGTAATGATCTTCTGGCATTTCCCAAACCCAGACATGTCCACCAGACTGCTAGACAGAGGGACCCACGCCATGAAGCTCCCAGCACAGTTTTTGTGCTGATGTTAATGCCAGGGGAGCTTTGGAGATGCACTATGGACTTCAACGACCCCTGTTCCAGAGTGCCTGACTGTGAGCCCACCCTCATGAAGCTGTTTTCTGACTGTTTGGTCAGAAACATTCCCATCAGTGTCCTCCTCAGATACCGCCTCATGCTGCCAGTAGTGACACTGACCCTTGCCGACTGGAAAACTAGACAACAGCCAGAAAAGATGAGAAAAAATGTTTCTTGGCCTCCACCTTTAAACCCATTCCTGTTTTGTGGGTTGTGTCATTGCTGCCTCTCTTGTGCACCATCTGTTGATCTCATTAACACCCCTCAGCTACTTCACTGACCAGATCAATATCACAAAACGTTTAATGACTTTATGCCACTGATTAAAAAGTGTTCCTTTTTTTCCCCATTTTTTGAAGTGTACTCTTGAGTACACAACATTACTTCCGTTTTGGTTTGTATTTCAGTTACTAAACATTTTGTCACATCTAGATATGGTTCAGTTTTTCTCAACTATAACACTGATTGCAACAAGGTGCAACACTTACACCAGGGGTCCCCAATCCCAGTTCACGAGGGCCGGTGTCCCTGCAGGTTTTAGATGTGTCCTTGATCTATCACAGCTGATTTAAATGGATAAATTACCTTCTCAACATGTCTTGAAGTGCTCCAGAGGCCTGGTAATGAACTAATCATGTGAATCAGGTGTGTTGACCCAGGGTGAGATCTAAAACCTGCAGGGACACCGGCCCTTGTGGACTGGGATTGGGGACCCGTGACTTACACCAAACTACCTCTGCACTTTATTTTAATCCTTATTTCCACTCGCTGCAGTTTTAGTCAGCCTCTGACCTTTCACTTTATATTATCAGTGTTCACTTTTATTATATCCTGTTTTATTGGCTTTCAAGGCCTTACTAAAGTTTTTGTTGTGTAAAGCTCTAAAGAGCTCAGGTGGCATTAGACTGATGGTTTGTGGCTGGGGCAATTATAATTTATTGTGGACCAGCTAAAAAAATAAACTGTACTGTGTTCTGTGTAAAATCTATTTAGATAGAAAGGTCCCACATGTAGTGTAAAATTGAGGGAATATATGCACACACACACAGATCAAATGTTCTTCCTACCCCCTCTGGGTTAGGAGTGCCTCAGCCAGCAGCACTGTCACTAAGCCCATCTAAATATAGCATCTGGTGACCCGACCTGATCAACATCTGAAAATATAGTGGTGCTGTTGAACACGCTGCCCCCAAGTGGTAGTCAGGGAGCACTGCAGTTTATTACCCATCAAACCCTTCTTGCTCATCCCTCCAGTCACCACCCACACAGAGCTCAACGGCACAAAACAAGTAGTTAATCTGTATAAAAAGTAGGTTGCCTTTATTAGAAGCTGGGAAACCAAAAACATTATCAACATCGTTGTTAATACTTTTTTTTTTGTAAGACCACAATATTGCCATTACCATCATCATCATCATCACCGCTTCGCACTTTTCCACAACATGCAAAAAGATTCAAGAGTTCAGTGTTCCTTTTCCATACTACTGACAAAATCTTCTCCACTTGGTCTCCTGTAGGAATCACAACTTGGCTTACATTTACATTGCCAGTACAACTGAAGGTAGATTGAAAGAAAAACAAACAAAAAAAAAAGACATCAGAAAGAGAACAGAAGTTGTAGAATGAATGAGAGGAGAAATTCATAGCCTTATGCCATGTGGCTCCTGCGGGAAGATGATAGGAACGTCATTCAAGCCCTCAGTGCTGTGAACTACGAGCCGCTATCTGACCCTACCGCTAACAGCGTTAGGTTGATATAAACAGAGGTTTGGTTTTTTTTAAAGTTCCAATCAGAAAATGACAGTAGCTACAGATGGGTGCCAATTCAGGACCTGAACGTAGAAAGAACACTTTAACCTGCGAACGAGGACAGTCGGAAAACAATCGAATGTGCTTCTGAACCAGGGACTAGGTTCGAGTGGGTCCTGTACACATCCAGGACTGACGTTTACTGCAGCCTCAGACTTGATGTGAAAACACACTCCCAAGACCGCAATACAGACTTG